TAATAATTTTTTTCTGGTACAAAATATTTACATTAAATTAAATTGACATTTAAAATAAATTGACAATTGTAAGTTCTTCTAGTATCTCAATTTTCTAGAGTTTGTAAACCGATAGTACCATAGTAAGTTTGTTTTTAGTATTTTGTATTTTAGTATTATTATTTAAATTTGTAACTGTTTGTGGTAAGATAACCATAAATATTTTATTTTTCCCTGAACAAAATTGTTTTCTTTTAAAATGTTTCTAACCCTTTTTTTATATTTCCTAGAAAAGAAAAACCTTTCTTCCACCCAGCAGGAAGATTCTAGTAAGCGGTGTCCTTACTTTAAACAGCTTAAGAACCTTCTAGTGTTGGTTTGTCCAAGAGGTCTATGTAAGTACCCCTTTTATTTTATTTTTGTAATTTACCTATTTCAGTCCACTTGTTTCCTTCTCACGACCCAGCTATCCAAAAAAACCCTGAGTAGCCGTTCGCCTTATTCCAAAGCTTTCCGGTTTGTTTTGCTTACTCTATTTCCACCCCAGTAATTTCTGTCCACAGTTGTTAACTCTCTATTTTAATATCCTAGGTGGAAGGCAAAAGAATCGTTACACAAATATAATTAAAATATTGTTCAGTATTACAATAATGGACATTCAGAGTAAAGGTTCACAACTGTGTTTTATAAAACAGGGCTGCATATTAAATGTGTACTTTTTTGTAGAGGTGCTGTCCATGTTTATTTTTTGATTTGCGTTTAATTTGTAAGCGTAGTCTACTTTGGCTTGACCAATTGCGTACAAAATACATTTTTGTTTTCGGCATTTGCTTTAACTTTTATATGTATACTAAGTGACATAGAAATCCGAACACTCAGTTTAAATGATTTTATTTTAATAGAATTTTGTATAAGTACTTAATAAAGCATAATAAGTAAATGATTGAAATTGTAAAATAATTGTATTGCTTTAAAGCCCTTTCACCTTTAATAATGTGTGGATGCACCCCGATGTGTTACGCATTCTCCAACGCGCCTAGGCATGCTTTTGATCAGGTGGTTAATATTCTGTTGTGGTATCTCATTTTAGGTAACCACCAACTCCTCTCGAAGTGCTTGTAAAGTCTAAGGAGGACGTTGCAAATTGAGCAATCTCCTAGGATAAAAGATAGGGTAAAAGGTAACGAAAATTAAAGGTGACCCGGAAATATAAGCTGTAGCACGCCAAACCATAATTCCAACAGTGTGATGAACATGTCTTTCAACAAAAAACTGTGGATTTCTCCTTTCACCACGTCGCCTTCTAACCCTCGCTCGCCCATCGTGCATACGTAAACAAAATCAAGACTCGTCACTAAAGACAATACTGTTCCATTCCTGATTCCAGAGTGACCGTTCTTTGCACCACTGAGTGCGATTACGGCAGTGTTCTGGAGTTAAATGGAGGACCCAGTGTGGTCGGCATGAAAACAGGTCAAAACTTGGAGTCAAAAATGGAGCTGGTAGTGAAGAAACGGACTCTTAAGGCCAATAATCTTAGGCGGTGATCTTCACGGTCTTTTGTTCTACGGCGGCGTCCAGTGCCCTTTGCTCTTTGTGTACAGCCTTCTTGATGCCATGCCTAACAACATTTAACCACGGCTTCGACACTTTTTTGCACTCTAACTTTGAAACTTCCCGAAAAGAAAGCCTAGCTTTTCGAAGTCCCATTATACGGTCCCTATCAAACTCACTAAGTTGACTAAATAGTACAGGTCCCCATACTTTAGGCACCGTAACCAATCGTAAAGAATGTCAAGAACCACAATCCGCCAAATTGAGCTGTTCGACTACTTGAAGTGGCCATTATAAAAATATGGTGGCACATACCGTTGTTGCATTTAAAATAGTTGATTTCAGTATAAAAGTACATAACAACGATATTTATAACCCGTTGAGTCATCTTTAGAGCAAAAGCTGTATGTCATTTTTAGTAAGATTGTGCCTTGTACGTTGTTAGTTCAAGGTTATCAATTACGTAATAAATTGCAGACAATTTTGAAACGAATACATTACAATTATAATAATAATTGAATAATAGCATTCCCAAAAAAATAACAGCATTAAAAATAGGGGGAACCAGCCCTACAATGTATTAAATTTTTTAAAAATATAACAATAAAACAATTTTGCTGTAACGACTTTTCTTGAATTTTTAATGATTTCATAATATTTATTTATTTTATTTATAAGTTTTTTGATAGTTTCAACTACCAAACATATTCGACTTTTATTTATTTCAAACACATACGTGACATGAATATTGCTTTTAATATTCACTTTAATTGTTGAGCAGTGTAGTTAGATATCTATATCCGACAAGTTTTCCGATATTGCGTTTGTCATTTTCCCAATAGTTAGAAAAAATTAAAGCCTGGACAGCTGAAAAGTAAACCAATAAATTATTTGTCCACACATGCGACTATATAAATTTGCTTACTCTACCGAGCGATATATATAGTGAAATATATTTCGGCATATTTCAAAAACATCTTTTTTACATATTGTTCCGATTTGTGCCAGAAATGTGAGCAGCAGCGCAGAAGAGATTGTTTGTACAACAGTAAAAATGTGTTGTTTTCGTGCAGTTAAATTTATGCTCAATTTTATTGTCACTATAAAGTTTATACACCAATATTTCAGTTTTTCCGTGTAACAGATAAAATATATCAACATGTTTCAGATCTCTAATGTTCATTTAGTTTTTGTTATTAAATAGTGGTCTTATTTTATGTTATCATAAATAAATGTAAGAAAATAGGTGTAATATTTTGTTAAATGAACTAGATTCTATCCCAGAATAATGTGTCTCGGTCTTCTTCCTTCCCCAATGTTGATACTTACTGTTGTCAGATCTGTGGAACAGAAATTAATTAGCGGAAGTATCTCCAGCTCATTTCTGGCAATCACACAGATCTACTGTAGATCACTTCTCCATTTAACCCTAAACCTTTAACTTCCTTTTTAGTTCATACAAGGCTCTTGTACAAGGGCAATATCGAACGTTGTCTTAAGCCCTACCATGACTGTTGAGGCTACCTTGCAGTATTGGAGGTTAATCTGAACTACCCTAAGCCCATCTTTCTTGGATTTTAGTATTCTACCAAATTCATAGTAAGCTTTGTACTTCTCATTTGGATTTCTACAGAATCCTTTATCTACAGGAAAGGCAGGAGCTGGCCCCCTTCTTTAGTTTTCGGCTTAATAGAGACTAGTGTTGTGTCCTCAGCATCTGATTCAGATTCTAAAGGTGCATTATAATCATCTGTGTATCTATTGATTTTGGTTCAGGGATGAAGACTAAGATCCTGGTTCTCTGATTATATAGTACTTTAATCGTTTTTCTAAGCCAGTTCTTAGTGACCTTACTTGCGTAAGTGAATGATAGTACTCCTGCGTTAAATAAGGATTTTTTAAATTGGTACCTGTATTTAACTACTGTCAAACTAGCTCCCTCTCTTGCTGAAGCTACCCGGAGGGACATTATAAAAGTACTTTCAGTAGTTTGCTTTTTACCAAGTCTATCTGTTATTAAGTTAATGTGTAATCGGGATTTGGTCAATATAAAGAGAAATCAAGGCAGATACAAGCTATTTCAATGCAATTTGCAAGGTAAAATTAAAGAAAAAAAGGGCCCTAGGATAAAGAAGAATATCCTGGCTTGCTACCTTAAGAGCACGGTATAGAAAGACCTCAACACAGCTATTTCGTATAGCAATTAACAAAGTCATCATAGTAAAAATGATCGCCAACGTTCGGAACGGACAGGTACCCTAAGCGCTGATGCCCTTCGCCAATTCGCCAAGGCTTACTTCTTTCGAGATGATTTTACGCTTCTTGTTTTTGTTTTTGTCACCTTTAGGCATCTATGACTCAGAGCAGGATCTTTTATCCCCCAATCATCCTGCTCTCCTTTTGTTTCTTAGGCATATCTCTCTTCTTGGTAGTCTTGGTCTTGTTCCTGTGAAAATGTTTGTCCTTTCAATTCCCTTCTGCCATTTTTTTTCCGTGATTAGCTTCCTTCTCTAAGACATGACTCAAAGACTTGGCTTCCCTCTTCTTTTTGTTTACAGTCAGGATCAATGGGTTTAATCTTTTTAAGTGTTGAAGCTGAGAAGTCTGGGTGAGTGGTTACTGGTTTTACCCTCCTTTGTGTTATTAAAGAGTGTGCGTCAGTGGTCTCTAAGTCTCTATTCTCTTGGTTTCTTTATTGTTGTTTCGTGTACATGTTTACTTTCACTACTAGTTATAGAAAATGGGTGGTCTGCTCCTGCAGAGTCCCCGATATAAGAGTAAGACTATATAAAATGGGGTTTTGTCCTGTTCTCCAAGGGTACCGTTTGTGATACTGTTACCTCCAGTATCTTACATGCCCTTGCCACGGTAACTTAATGCTTAGAAGTAGGTTTAAGCCGTTTCTTGGTCTAGAATTATATCTCCCAGGCTTTTGGCTAAAGGGTGGGAGCACCCTTAATCATCCTCATTAACGAGAATGTCATACTGCTCTCAGAGGAGATACGACTTAGTTATTAATCACCATGTAGAATTCTGCATATTCCACAATCCTGGGGAATATCTTTAATATATTTTCTCTAAATAACTTGTTTTTCTAAATTACTATTATTTACCAATGTTGTAGTAAAAGCTTACCCTCTATATGATAATAAAAAATTTATTAATTTATTTATTAATAATTATATATTTTTTTGCCTTTTTCTGAAAATTTTTTGTAATAAATTTACTGTTACCTATACCAATTCTTTCGAACTTTTCTGTTTTTCTAGTTTATTCTTTTTCTTCATTCTCCATTTTTTAATTGTTGTAATCTACAATACTCAACTATTTACCTGTTAAAATTATGTATTATAAGTTTGCATTTCATACGCAATCGTGATAACAAAAGTGCTATTTATAATTATTGATAAGACAAGTGAAAAAATGGTTGGAATTTACGATACATAATATGTTATCATAATATTTACATGCAGTGTACTTTCTTATTCGTGCATATGTGGAAATAAAATGGCTAATAATAATTACGAGTTTAACGATTTTGTTCAAAACTATCCTATTTTATTTTTGAATAGTGATATACCCGAATTGTGGCAACCTGTGCTGGCTAGTGTCTTAAATAACAAGATCGAGAGTTTAGAAAATATAGTGTCGCATTTAAGAGAAGAAACAGTTGAATGGGTTCCATCAAGTGAAGAAATATGGACTTTTACGAAATTTTGCTGTCCTTGCTGTGTTAAAGTTATTATTGTTGGTCAAGATCCACCTTGTGATGCTAGTGGTTTAGCATTCAGTAGTAGAGAAACCATTTATGATTCTACAGTAAATATATTAGATGAAGTTAAAAGAGATATAGGTGCAGAAAATCTCAGACCATTTCCAAGAGAATATGGAAATCTAGAATATTGGGCCAGGCAGGGAGTACTGCTTTTAAATTCAGCTCTCACCAAATCCATTGGTGGCGACTCCCACCTCTCTATAGGCTGGCAAGATATAACTGGAGAATTGATTAAACAACTACAAAATAGTAATGAGAAAATAGTATTTATGTTTTGGGGATGGTATGCCAGGACCTTAGACATAAACGTCGGGAAAATTGTGGTGAATGACTTGTGCAACATCCTAAAAGCCGGACATCCCTCTTCTAGAAATGATAAGAACGACTTTCTCGGGTGTCGACATTTTTCACAAGCAAATAAATGGTTAAAACAACATAATATTGATGAAATTGATTGGTGCCCTGTTCCAAAACTTTGTGCGCACTTAGGTGATTTTGGTGAATAATTTAGATGAAATTGTATCTGTTATTTATTTTTTTATACTATAGTTATTAGTAAAAAGCTGATAAAATAAAAAGAAAATATTCAAAAAATGCAAATTTTTTATAAAAAAAATGTAAAATTAGATAATGCGTAAAAGATGCAAATGATGATGCAGATGATGCAAATTGTTTTAAATATAATATTTGAATCATATTTTAGAATATTTTATTTAAACACTAAAACTACTTTTTGAAAATTTAAAATTCTACTTATTTAGAATTAAACAGATTTTAGAATTTAGAATTTAATTTAGAACACAAATTACATGTCATTTTATTATACCTAATTATTAAAGAAAATAATGCAAAAATAGATTATTTTAGACATTACACACATTTCCCAATTATTGGCAGTAATATTCTAGTTATTGGCATGTAGTAATTGGCACCCAGAAATTTTCATAATTTTTATATCAAAATATTGATTGAGCATTGAAAACAAAATTGAAACAAAAGTACTTACGTACAAACAAAGTGTCATTTATTTATATATTTTTTAAGAAGAAATTTTACAAAAACAATATTCTTTACACAAGTTGTTTAAGACAAGTTTCACAAACAAAATATTCTTTATATAATCATATTTTTTCAAGACATCCCTTGTGAAATGTTTTGCAACACTTTAAGCAATATACTCCAAACCTAATCAGAAAAAAATTTCCAATGCATGTAAATACCTCTAAAATACTAGGTTTCTGCTAAAATAAAGATGTTTCTTTGAGTACCTTAATCTTAGTATTTCGCTTATCACTTTTTCCATAGATAGTGGTGTCTCTAACAATAAAGTTAATTTTCCATGCTTTTTTCAATTTTTTTTCAAATTGTTCACTAAGCTCTAATTAACACAAGTTACTTTTTCTCCTGGCTTTATGTTTCGATATATTGTACATCAGCGATAGAATAGAAGTATTGTATTATATTATACGGTTCTTGTTAATATATTGTGACATTTTTGTGACTTTCTAATGTTTGTATAAATTTTATAAAAACTCTGAATATATTTTTTACTGTAATTTTATTGTATTTCTTAAGTGTATTTTGTAATAATTCAACATATGCATTTGACATTGTTTGACATCTATATAATATGTTTTTACAATCATTAGAACTGAAATGTTTTTTTTATTTTTTATTTCTCCTTGACCGATATCCTCATTTATATAAATACACAATGTGAGTGAGATTAAAATCTCACTGTAAATGATATATACCGGGTGGTGAATCGTCAAACGGACCATAGGAAACTCAATGAGAAATTTTAAATTGTTGAATTGTTGCTTCCCTAATTATTTTAGATCAAAAGTCATAAAAAACTATTTGTAGAGGACTAAAATCTGAATTAAAAACAAATGTTAAAACCGTTCTACGACTCAAATGTACTTAAAAATTTTGCAAAAATATAATACATTTTTCAGGCCACCCCTAAAAGTTAGGCCACACGTAATGCAAGAATATATATTAGGACGTTTGTGTTTTATCATATTTATGTCAGATGTTTGACAATTTGAATTGTCGATTTTTTTATTTTATGATTAAATTATAAACAATGAATTTTACTAAATACTACTACTAATGAACATTATTACTTTGTGAACAATAAATTATATTGTTTACAAAACGATCAATATAATGAAATGTACTCAGTTGACGAAAAATCGCATAATGTTGTATTCCGGCAAGTAGCGCGAACCTTTTCCTGCCACTACCGGATCTTTATTTAACGTAAGATATTCTAATTCACTAAAATTTAATTCCATGTTAAGTTAAGTTATACAACAATTCAATGAATTCCAATATACTGTTACTGTGATCTTTATTCCTAATAATAATATATGATAATTTCTAAACATAAAACTATAACAAATGTTATAATAAAACAAGAATAAAACATTTTTATTATTGTTTTTTTCTTTTCAACTAAGTACATTTTTTAATCAACTTAATTTTTTTTAACAATAAATCACAAAATTTTGGCCATTTAAATCATAGATAAATGTAATATAATTAATTTAAATATTGTCAAATATCAGAAACAATAATATGACAAAACGCAACACGTAATACACATTTTTTCACAGAAAAATGTATTATATTTTAGCAAAATTTTGGAATACGTTTAAGTCGTAGAATAATTTTAACAATTGTTTTAGATACATATTTGAGTCCTCTACAAATAGTTTCCCATGACTTTTGGTGTAAAATAATTAGGGAAGCAGGAATTCAACAATTTAGAATTTCCCATTGAGTTTCCTATGGCCCGTTTGACGATTCACCACCCTGTATATATATATATATATATATATATATATATATATATATTATATATATACAATACATTGCAATTAATAATAATTGATAAGATAAAACAGATATAGCTTATAATTTATGAGACATAATCTTTTACCTATAATACTTAAATTCAGTATACTTTTGCTAGTAGTTGGTACTTCATATTTAGCAATGAAATGGCTAATAATTATGGATTTAACGATTTAGTTAAAAAATATCCTATTTTATTTGAAAACAGTGAGATATCCGAATTGTGGCAATCTCTGCTGGCTAGTGTTTTAAACAACAAGATCGAAAGTTTAGAAAATATAGTGTCGCATTTAAGAGAAGAACCGGGTAAATGGGTTCCATCAAGTGAAAAAATATGGACTTTTACGAAATTTTGCTGTCCTCGCTGTGTTAAAGTTATTATAGTTGGCCAAGATCCAACCTTTGATGCTAGTGGATTAGCATTCAGTAGTAGAGAAACCATTTATGATTCTACAAGAAATGTATTAGATGAACTTACAAGCGATATAGGTATAGACAATCTTAGACCCTTTCCAAAAGATTGTGGAAATCTGGAATACTGGGCCAGACAAGGAGTACTTCTTCTAAATTCAGCCCTTACAAAATCCATTAATGGCGACTCTCACCTCTATATAGGTTGGCAAGATATTACTGGAGAATTGATTAAACAACTACAAGTAATTAATGAGAAATTGGTATTTATGTTTTGGGGATTGTACGCCAGAAGGTTAAATGTAAATGTCAAGCAACTATTTGCTAATAACTCGTGTAACATCCTAAGTGCTGGCCATCCCTCTTGTCGAAACGAAAAGAACGATTTTTTTGGATGTCAACATTTTTCACAAGCTAATAAATGGTTAAAAGAACATAATATTGATACAATAGATTGGTGTCCAATTCCTTCTTTTTTAAACCAATGTGTGCACTTAGAATGTGATTTTGGTTTTGACCAATATTTTTTCTTGATCGACAACTTCTAGCAAAAAGGAATATACTAAATATATAGTTATGCATCGACGATACATAAAATATACAATTTTTGGGTTCCAATGGTTTTCTGGGCGAAAAATTATGGTGGATCTAATTTTAAGTCAGAGTAGTATGCAATCTGGTTCTGTTTTGTTTGGATAAAAGTTTGTATTTTTATCATATATTTATAAATGTTTACTATCAATCATTAAATAAGAGAATTGTAATTGTATTGTAATTGTCATATAAAATAGGCAAAAATATGAATATACAGAATGATGCAAAAGTATGAAATAAATTTTAGTCTTAAAAAATCTTATCTTGGGAAGCTCCATGGCCTCAGGGAGGTATTTAAATAATTAAATATGCTACCATAACCATTTAATAAAATTAAACTTAGTTCAACTAATGTAATGTAGGGTCATACAAAGTTTAGATACATCACTATAATAAAAAACACTTAGAATCCTCTACCAACTGTTCTTAGACAAAAATTATTCACTAGCTCTTTTAAAGAAAATTTTTGTTTAGTACACTGTCTAAAACATTATAACACTACACAAAATCATTCCTCTGTTACGACTGCTGCTGTGAATCAGAAAAGTGACACTACAATTATTGTCACACCTATTTCGACACGAATATTCAATTATTCTGATGATTATTAAGTTTGCTACTAAAACAGTTTTAACGATAAGTTCAGTCTTCTCTAGACTTAGAGATAAAACATGAAAATATAATATGTCGTAACATAGTCTATAGTATTCTTCGTACAAATTGTAATTTACAATACATTTTCCATTCTTCAAGGCGATAAGAGGGCCGTATCACCTACCACAAGAGTTATTTGAAGAAATATCCAGATAGTTGTAGTTTATCTATACATGTTAAGTAAAACGATCAAACAATGAATTACATAGAAGCCAAGGTATTAGCAATTGGAAACAATTAATTGTTTGTTGAGATGGCTTTTATCTCTGAAACAGTGAAAACTAAAAACAAGAAATCTGATATTAGCCACTTCAGTGAGATTTGCTTAAATTTACTGTTTTTAGATAAAGAGTTTAATACAAAAAAAGGAAACACTATCGAAATAATAAAAACAAGTTATGGTTTTCGTGTGTTTTTGATATAGAAATATATATACGCCTTTGTATATAGCGTATACAGCTTACTGTAGTTTAAGCCGCAGATTCATTTAGAATTTTAAACTGCTGCGTTAGCCTTCTTGTTTTTTGTATACCGAGCTAGGGATCGAACTCACATCATTCGCAGGGAAGCGAGTGAGAACCGGCCGCCCTGCCCGCTTGGCTATCTGACCGACTTGATATAGAAATTCATCTAATTAATACTAAAGGAAGAGTCCAGCTATAAATGAATACAAAAGAAACTGTTACAATGAGTCAGTGTCAACTTTCATTTGTTTTGTTGGCTACTGGACACATTGCCAACTATGACAATGTAGTAGTACTAAGAAGGGTTGACAACCAATTCAAGAGAAATTTCATAGGAATGTGCGACATCTATAACTGTAGCTCTTCTATGAACTGTAAGAAGGATGGGAAAACTTGAGTTTTATTTACTTATTTTTTCTTCAACAAGACTGGAAAAGACGTAACAGACTGAAATATTTAGGCAACTTATCATAACATATACAGATGAACTAACTGCACGTGAGTACAGATTTCATTTTCCAGCTGATTGTATTTTTAAATTGTTTTAAAATTGTGTTTTATCTGGTGATTCCATGTTATTGCATGAGGTGTAAATATAAACATAACCTTGTTACATATGACATCGAGATATTAACGGAAGATAGCAAGATTTTCAACCAAAGAGTAGAAGTTATCTTTCAGTCTACTTCTTGCCTTTGAGGTTTCTTTGACATGAAATTGCAGTTTTTGGTTATGTTTAGATGTTTTTGTGTTGTATTTGTAAAATTCTCTTTGTTTTTTATAATGTTTTATTTATAATTTCTTATTATTTTTTAACATATTTTAAGGTTCGCTACTAAACATTTTCAATGTAAGTTTAAGATGCTAACTTTCACCACTTGTACTAAATAAGTTTTCCATTTAGGCGCCGATGAAGGTGACAGCCTAATACTGACAAGTTTTTCACAACTGAGGTCCCAAAATACCTTATTTAAAAGATCTACTAATCAGTTTTGCAACGATGTTATTACTTTTTGATATAAGAGACAGCATCTAGTAGACATTTTGCAGATACAGCACACAACAGGGCAAGTTTCAAGCCATATTTAACCGGTTTTTTCAGAATGTACATACTAAACGCACAGTATTTATGAAATCCTACCAGCTATTCGCCGATACTTACCTATGAAGCTGGTTTATACGAGGCTGTACATACCTGTATAAAATTGTTCCAAATGTGTATAAAAAAATCCAAATTTTTTATCTATATCCTTATAATACACCACCCTAATATGGGCTTTTTATAATTTCAGTATTTAATTTACTTTGTACCACTGACCTGATGATGCTTTGCAAATTTTAGAAAACGAAACCGGTCGTTTGAGGTAGTAAAATTAAATTGATTGTGAGTAAGTCTAGTCTAATTATTTCTTTTTTACCTTTCTAAAATGGACTCACATAAGCAACACATTCATGATTTGTTCCAAATGTATTCTGATACTGAAAATCAAGATTCTTGTCCTCTGTCCTCGTGTGTGTTGGTGTTATAAAAACTTAAGCAAGCTGTCAAAAACTCAAAACAGTTTTGACTTATTGTTGCTTTGTATCGCATGCAACAAAAGATAGTATTGAACATGGCGTCGTTACCCAAGTAATTATCTTAAAAAATTCCAGCTGAGAAATATAATCCAAGGAATGTTTTTAGTTCTTTTATAGTTGTTTTTGAAACAAACGCTAAACAAAATATCGTTTGAAAAAAAAAGTGTTAAAAAGACGCGTACTAAATCAAGTTGATACATCTTGTGACTGCGAAGAACGTCCTGGTTTTACATATATAATATTCTTCACAGAAGTTTTGCTTTTCGGTATGTCAGTCGGTTGGTTTGGAAAACCATTAATACTTTTTTTTTTCATATAAATAGTTTTTTGAAAAAAATAAAGGCAAGTATTGAGCACAATTTTAATAATCAAATCTTGCCCAAGTACTTTCACTTTCTACAGTATCATCAGAGGCATTTCGTCAAATTTGGGCTATCCAGCAAGTCCAAAAAGTAATAAACATGAAAAAGAACATAAATTATACATAACACTACACTTAAACAAGAACAAACAGTTTAAAATTATTTAAAGATTATTCTACGCTCTACATTCTTGTCGGCAACAGGAGTGAGAATAAATAAATTGTTTTTGGCTGCTGTGTCCACAAAGCTAGGTTTTTTATCGGTAGGAATAATCTGAAAAGTAATAAGGCAGTAAAAATACTTATACCTCACATAAAAAATATATAACCTACCAGAAAACTTTTTATTTATTTCAAAATTGTGTCATTGTCTGCTCTACCCATGGATCCTGAGGAAATTTATCTCACTTAATTATGTTCTTATTACATTGGATAGATAGAAAGATTTAGAGAGGTGGACTTTTGGCTTATTCCACATTACCACCTTTTTAGATCTATTGTGTTTCTCTAGTCATAAATAACATTATCTTAAAAAATTCCATGGGCCTGACCCATTTTATAAAGTCTAGTAGCTTCGAGACTGTACCTTCCATGTAGCTATTTGCCGGTGGATTTTCTTCTCCTAATGCAAATAACCGCACATTTACCAGACTATCATCCTGACATAATGCTCTGCTGTTTCTTTTTCGGATGACAGAATCGGTACATCTGATAATCTCATCAGCTTCAAGTGCCTATTCAGCTTACAGTGCCCTGTTAGAAGACCTAATATGACTTGACTGTTTTCCTGTCCTTGCTTGTTAGGTCTGGCGTAAATTTTGGCAAATGTTGTGTCCTGTAATGAACTGTGTCTCCTATCTTTGTCCTGGTAAATTCTTCCACCATTTCAGGGATTTGTTACTTCCTGTTTTTTACCCACTTTCTTGTAGCCGTTCTTGTTACTTACTTTGCAACGCCGCAGAAGGATTCCGGTCCAATTAGTAGCATTGATTGAGCCTTGTTTGGCCATTTCATCTTCATTATTGTTGCCTTTATGACCCTAGTGCCTTAGTACCCAGGCTACCGGAACCTTGTTACAGTCTCCTAGTTTATTTGGGGCACACATAGAATCCCATATTAGCTTAGAATTGACCTTTACAGAATTGAGTGCCTTAAGTGCTGCCTGACTATCTGAGCCGTAACTATTTCTTCCATGCAGTGACGGATTGCTATTATTTTCGCCTGGAAAACTGTCACATCCTTATCGGGAAAATGTATCCCTTGATTTGTCCCTACTATGCCAGGGTTTACACCATCCGTTTTTTGAGTTTTTGTACCAGGTAGCAATAGCTTGTATGGATACACCTTTATTTCAGTCTTTCCTGCCTCGTATCTTAATTTTAAACTTACTATTAAAGCTATATCTCGTAGCTGTTGCATCGATAGGTTTCTCCATCATAATATCGGCTCTTAGCACCTCGATTAGCTTTCTGTTATCAGTACCATGCATCTAGCTTATATGTGCTAACTATGGATTATTCTGTGCATCACTAATCGGGCTTCTGTATAAATATATGCAGTGGTGGTAGATTCAGCAGGACTTCCAACGATGCAGTAAGAGTTCTTTTTATGACTAGCCTTATCACATTAAATTTCGGACGTTTTGGAATATCTGCCTTTTCCAAACTTTTGACAGACTAACCAACAGCTTTAGTTCTATTTTCTTAGGTGACAACCTTTCTGGATGACCCATCGCTACACCCAGACTCGCTTTCCTTTTTAGACCCGGCTCTAGTAACATTATCTTTAATTTCACTATCACTACTTTCGAACAGTGGTCTTTTCAGATCTTTAACCGTTAAACCACACCATGATATTTTAGACTCTTACTAGTATCGATACGTCAAAAATGATGATATAATTTGCGCTTATTGGTATCGATGCGTAAAATTTACCTGCAGGAATCCAGAAAACAATGCGGGCGAGTAACTACTGTTTCATTAAATTTGTAACCGAAGTGCATAAATTTTACGTACATTACCGGTCTAGGATTAAAATTATTGCCGCCTGAACCAATTTTGGAACGATAGTTACGTTTGTTGCTTAGGTTTTCTATATCTGATTTTCTGTTATTGTATTTGTTGTTTTTTTAATATATGTTTTTCAAAAATAACTTCTTTTATCTGTTTTCTTTCCTATTGCAAAATTGTTGCCTGAGAAAAGG